GCCTCGAAATCCGATCCATGTATATTACAAACAGGATTGGTGACAAAGCGCAGCCCTGGCGGAGGCCAACCCTCACCGGAAATGTGTCCGACTTACTGCCGAGGACCCGGACACAGCTCTCGCTTTGGGAGTACAGAGATTGGATGGCCCTGAGTAGAGACCCCCTCACCCCATACTCCCGCAGCACCTCCCACAGTAACTCCCTGGGAACTCGGTCATACGCCTTCTCCAAGTCTACAAAACACATGTAGCCCGGATAAGCGTACTCCCAGGCCCCCTCCAGGATCCTTGCGAGAGTAAAAAGCTGATCCGTCGTTCCACGACCAGGACGGAATCCGCATTGTTCCTCCTCAATCTGAGGTTCGACAATCGGCCTGACCCTCCTTTCGAGTACCTTAGAGTAAACTTTCCCGGGGAGGCTGAGTAGTGTGATGCCTCTGTAATTGGCACACACCCTCTGATCCCCCTTTTTAAAAAGGGGAACCACCACCCCGGTCTGCCACTCCTTCGGTACTGTTTCCGACTTCCACGCAACGTTGATGAGACGTGTCAACCATGACAGTCCCTCAACACCCAGAGCCTTCAGCATTTCCGGGCGGATCTCATCCAGTGGCAAGTTATCTAGTATTTTTTCTTTTTATTGGTCTTGACGTTTTCAAGGATGCTAAAGTTTAGTTGGGCTGTACATGTGTTGTGTGGAAGTGTCTTTGTGCTTCATTTAATTTGTTTATGTTCAACTCCATATAACATGTTTGTCTGCTCCTGAACCCCTGGCAAATAGACCCACACAACCATTTCTCATCTTGAAGAAATTGGGTGCACAACATATATAAACTCACACCATCTAAAGTACAAATACAATAACACACTTAGTGAGGCTACAATGGTATAGTCCGTTGATGCCATGACAGAGGTGTCAGTTGCTCTCTCAGGTTATTTGACAATGGTTTACAGAGTTGTTGCATTCACAATACGTTACATTGACCTCAACAACGATATTGGATGAATATTGTAATCCTGCTTTGTTTCAGGGTCTTAGAGCGACCCACCCCCTGAGCTAATAAATGCACAGTATTAGTCCCTCTTTTGCAACCCAAAATCTCTAACTATTTCACTCTTTGCTGCTCAGGTTGATTTAAATAATGAATAATAATTGCATCATTGTATTAATAAAATGTTTGAAATACATTGGAAGATGGAGCAGTCCTGAACTGATTCGTAGAAAAACTTTAGTTTGTGATTTTGTGATGTTGTTGAGGATGAATAAAACAACCGAAGTATTAAGTGTTGTATTTAAATGGTAGATGTAAAGACTTCCATCATACCTAAGTGTGGTACAAATGGGCATATGTTGTGTTGTTTTATTTTGAATACACGTAAATGTGGTGTTTGTCTTTTCCAGTCATGGGTCTCTTTTGAATTGACATGAACATGAAGACATCAACACGATCTGATGTGTTTATATTTATTGTGGTATGTGTGGTTTGATTCTTCATTCAAATAAAGTGAAACAAAGGGCAAGACTGTGTGGGTTTTAATATGGTTGGAATAAAAGATGCCCTTTTATTGGATGACCTCTTCAGATTGCATATAGACTGAGAGTGCTGTGACCTTAAGCGCCCCCTAACCACTGGAAAGCCCTTCACTGGAACTACCTCGCCCCCGACAAGTGCATAATCATTTTAACAGTGGCTGGGTTAAAACCCTCAGATAGTTCTGCAGGTTACCATAACGTGCCTTCGCCCCTATTTTGAAATGTACTGTAGAGAATGATTCATGCTCTAAATGTTCTGTTGTTGGAAGTGAAGGCGGTTTGTGCCAACTTTTAACTAAGAAATACAAAAGTAAAAATCCTATCTTTCTTGAAATGAAAACAAGACCTTACATAGTTGTTAAAATGGGACAACGAGCTTCAGGGGAATTTACCATTTACAGTCAGGAAGTGTGAGCGGCTCCACTGAGGGGACCTGAAACCCAGAGCCCCCTGGGAAATATATGCTGTGTTCTTTATGGAAGATTTATGACTGTTTATGTTGGGCTTGGTATTTAAACAAAACAAATGATAAATACTGGAGCCATGTTATAAAAGTAGGCTGGATAGCAAAGGAAGTCAAATGTAAAATGTGCTGAATAGATAATAAAAAAGGAACAAAGTTGATAATGACTTATGGAGGCTGTTAAAATGTATTGTAAGACCAGCCCTTGATTTACTTTTAGATTTTAAATGTGTGTCATGAGAAGCTTTTCTGTCTATGTTTCTACCTTCATCATTCAGGGCCTTGAGAATGGCAATGTCCATGTCACAGGTGTCCGTTAATGATGATGGTCAGTGGTCATGCATTGTTCTGAAACGGTGTTCTAAGGCCATGTGTCATCACACCTACAAGCCACATTGGCCAAACATTTACTAACTGCCCTGACTTTGGCATGACAACATTCCAAAACATTCCAAAAAATATTCTGTTACAATTACCAGTTCTACATTCAAATGGTAATCAGTAACCAAATCCAAGATAAAAATAAATAATGTCGTTTGATTAAGGACATGGTGTGTATAGCGTGTTTGTGTCTATGTGGAGAGGCCATGTTCCCCATATGTTCATTACAGAAAGTCACACAATCCAGCTCAGAGATTAACCACCAAATCACACATGTACAAACACTTACAAAAGTAAAACAGTGTTCGTTATTATGCAGATGAAGAGAAATGGGGCTGTGTAAAGTGTCAGGCTGATGCAGGTCCAATCTTTGGTGCTGGTAACAGCTTGTTCAGCTGTTTCAAGCCGGAGGAGCACATTGCTCATCTTGCAGTTAGCTCGTAGCTAGCTGCAGTGTAACTGCTCCATGTTAACCTTTGTATTCTGGATTAGCAGTGCTGGCCGAGTTATTCAGGCACGCATTTCAAGGAAAGAGAGAGAGCTGTAGCTGTGGTGATTTTTCCAAATAAAGATTATATTCATGTATTGCGCTTTATACAGTCATCAGGATGAAACTGAATAATCTGTTGTAGCTTTTAAATAATTCCAACTGTGGGCTGGGTTTTAGACCTTTACGTTTATTTTCTCAGAGGCTCTTTGGAGACCTATTTTCTCTCTGTTGCATCCATAGGAGCCTGCCTGCAGGCGCCAGTCTCAGGACACCTCCACTCTGAGGACACCTCCACTCTCAGGACAGGAATCTGTGCACGCTAAGAATTACAAAATAAAATCGCCATTATCAGTATAGCGCCACTTCCCAAACAGGAAATGCACGCAAATATAAAATCAAATCGTACTAGAGGTTCCAGCCCGGAACCTCCACCCCGCTGCGGGACCCGTGGTGGGACCCCTGAGTCAGACGATGCGTCTTGGTCACGCTTCATATCGGCCGGCCCGGAAAGGAAGAGACACGCAGAGTGGGGGAAGTCCCCCACCCCAACGCAGCACACCCTCCCGGCCATCAGAGTCGAACCCGCAGTTCGGAGGAACCGACTGCCAGAGCACCGGCACTAGACGGAGGCCCTCCAATGGTGGGTCGCGTAAGCCATTCGATCAGTGAGAGGAGAGGAGAAAAATGCAACAAAAATGGTCAAAATCCGTTAATATATGGATGAGTGGGGGGGGGAAACGGCTGGACACAGGCCGTGGGGGGACACCCGAGACCGGGCAGTGTCCCCGGTAGAAGGAACCGGGTGAAATAGCCAAAAATGAATAGAACCGGGGAAAATAGGGGGAAAAGTGAAAATAGGCACTCGTGATTGAACTCCTGTTACATTCCTCCATGGTGTCATTTGAGCGAACAATGGCTAAGTCAACTTTTACGAGAACCAGTCTGGGGGGGTCATCACCTCCGTGATGATTCTTCCATTGTGATTTGAAAACTTCCATCAGACGAGTCCTTCGGGTGGCGGGGAAAAAAACGTGTTCGTCAGAATCGTCACTTCCTGAACTGAGAGTGGAGGTCTCCTGAGAGTGAAGCCTGCACCGGAACTGTCCTGAGAGTGGAGGTCTGCAGACAGACCCCTCTCGTTGCATCAAGGAAAGACTTGACGTCCCCTTTCAGGCCGTGAAGCTTTCACTTCAGCCAACTGTTGCCACGGCGAGCTTCAATCGCTGCCAGAAGCAGAGGGTCAGCCCAAGCCACTGTTCTGCACCCATTTACAGATTTCTATGTGTTTCATGAGTTCTGATCATTGCTTGTCCAAGTGGACAGAAATTAATTCTGATGGTGCAACTCAGATCTTGTCATTCATTTAGTAATTTGAACTTCGCAGCAGACCCCACTGCTGCATTTCAAATGCTCTTTCAGCAATGCAATACAATAATCTTCTCTGCTGTTGCCAGTTTTTTTCTTTCTATATACAGCTCTGGAAAAATGTAGAGACCACTGCACATTTTTCCTTTTCATGTATGGCAGCCATTCCATTCCAGTGTCTGTTAAATCCGTCTTGTCTGTTAAATGTTGTCAGTAGTTTATAGAATTAAACAAAAAAAGCAGTGAACAAAAAACACGTTATGTCTTTAATAAACAGTCACCAGTGTGACGTGTTGGATACCAAAACATTGAGACTATAAATGATTGGTTGTAGTCTACTTCAAGCTTCATTGATCTTCTTTCTGTTAGCCTGGCATTTACCGTTTATGAATTGCCATGGAGGATCAGATTTTCCGTTGTGTTTTTGGCAGTTCCAAGGGAGGAAAGCACATTCTGTGTTTGGCAGGTCAAACACCTTCTGTGTAGCATTTTATATTTCTCATCCTTCTTGATACTTTACGGTCTTATGGTAACCTGTTGCTCTCTAAGGCTGTGATTGACTGTATATTCACCAACCCCTTTCTGTAGGTATCTGTTGTGCTAATGTGTTCCATTTAGCAGCTAGCTTGGAGTTAACAGTTGCTGTGATATTGCTTGAGGTGCTGATCCAGTTTTGCAGTCGGTGAGAGTTCTCGTTTGGTTTTCCTATGACAAGAACACAAGAAGTTGCTTTGCCTTTCCAGGTGTGGTAACCGTGACTGAGGTTGCCACATGTAAAGCTAGTACTTGACAACGCCACCTCCTGCTAAGGGGCAGGAGGAACCCGTGGACCCTAAATGTAAGTCGTGGATCGCTTTGTTTAAAGCTTCCCTTAATCGGTCCAATTATGACAGAGGCATGAATTCCAAAAACATAACACAGCTTTATTTAATAAGTGTTTGGAAACAGTTTAAAATGTCAATTCATGTCCAGTATAAAAATGGCAAATACAATTCAATACATATATAAGTTACCCTCCTCAGTTGGGCAGGCCCGGTCCGCTGGGTTGCAGTGCCTGCTAATCGTGAGGGACAAAAACAAGAAAAGCCACACACCAAAACAACATAAGCATGCAATATTTAAACCACAATCTCTATAAAATAATAACAGTGAGATATTTAGCATACAGAAAATAAAGTGTCACACCGTGCAGTCCCTACACTGAAGGCAGGCAGCGTTCCACCCGGGCCCAGGCCTACGCCGCAGAGGAGCGCAACCTACGACACAAATATTAAAATGATTATACTGCCATACACTGCAAATGAAGAAAATGGGTAAGAAAATACACAAGAAACACTATAGGACAGTGGCTGGCCTGGTCCTTTTGAAAAGGAAACAACATAACATGTTAGTTGCCAGCCTCATTCACCAACTCAATATAAAATGAAATAGTTAAAAACAAGGCATACTTCCACAGAGTAGGTTTCCAACTCGGCTTAATCCTGCCGGGGAAATGGTCACTTAATATCCCGGGTAGCTGGGCCGGTTGTGTACATTAAGCTCTGTAAAAACACATAAATAAGTTGCTTAAAACACAATTAAAAACGTCGGTTTAAAAACGCCATTTAAAAGCAAATTACTCATAACAGACCCGGTCTTGTGCCTGTCGGGAGAGTTTTCCTCCGTCAATGGTAAACTCTCGTCTTGCACTCGCCCTAATAAAACCAAACTAAATGAGCCACTTGCATAAGTTAATTTAAAAGACCATAAAACCACCTTAAAACTGTTATTCCTACCTTTGTGAGAGGGAGAAGACCAGTGACAAGCAGCCAAGAGAGACTTTCTTGAACTGACGGCAAACTTTTTATGGCTTCCTGTTTACTCGGTCACCGGTCATGTGATCGCATCAGGTGACAATGACGTCAGATTCCCACATTCACCCCATCAAAAAGTGTCGTCGCCCCGACGACAAGTTACTCACAACCAGGGTCTAAACAAGTGGGCATTAACCATTTCAGGCACCCAGGGAGCAGCCGCCCTCACCACACCCATTGCGTTGTTGCTAGTCACTGTGGACCTTGGAAGGTTATGTGGGTTTAGGTTTCTTCCAGCAGTAGCCCGGGTTGTTCTTCTGGGAGCTGACGCCTCTCTTTGGGATGGTAGTGCCTCCTGCCTACCAGGGAGTATGATTGAATCGCCATTGACTGCACCTTGGGTGCTGGATGTTCGGTTGGGGAAGGGCTGTGGGACATCCTGTGGAGTTGAATCAGGGTTTTGAGGGAGTCTTCTTTTACTTCTCCAACCCAGGATCTCTTCATCTTCACTACTGCCGGAGTCACTGGCAGGGATGTCTTGGTTGCTGGACGACAGACATGGGTTAAGTGTCATTGGTGCAGATGGTAGAATTTCAAGATGCGCTGCCCTCATCTCGGCCCTATGCACCTGCCGAACATCAGCAGTGCCATCAGCTCTGGTAATGGTGTACGGCCCACCAGACTCAGTGGGCACTCTAACCACCAGATAAAGAACTGGTGACCAGACATCCTGGATCTTGCGACGACCTTTACATTGATGATCCTTCAAGTAGACCAGCTGTCCTTCTGTAAAACCTGCATCGCGTGCCTGCTGGTTGTGATGTTGCTGTCGGTAGTCTGCTGCCTGTTGTAGGTTCTTTCGTGCCAAGTCTCTTGCTACTTGTAGCCGTTCCCGATGCTGCTGGACCCACTCATCCCAGGAGCTGGTTGTGTCTTCTGGGGTACCTTCTCCCAAGAGAAAATCTGCAGGGACCCGTGGTGGCACACCAAACATTAAGCTATAAGGGGTATTCCCAGTCGAGCGATGTGCTGAGGTGTTGTATGCCCACACTAGCTGGGAGATGTACTTTGGCCATACACGCTTCTTCTCCGGGGGAAGAGATCGGAGCAGGTCGTGAAGTGTCCGGTTGAATCTCTCACATTGGGCCATTTCCCTGTGGATGGTATGGCGTAGTCCTGGACTTCTCAATCCCATATAACTGGCAAACCTGCCGGATGAGGGCACTCTCAAAGTTTCTCCCCTGATCAGAGTGTATTCTCTTTGGTACGCCGAACCGGTTGAACCAGCTGTCGACTAGGACTTTCGCTACCGTGAGAGCAGTCTGGTCCTTAGTTGGCACCGCCTGCGTGTATTTCGAGAACACGTCGGTCATGACCAGCACATTCTCTTTACCGTCAGTTGCAGGCTCCAGCAAGGTGAAATCTATGGCCAGTATCTCCATTGGTTGGGTGGCCAACAGAGTACCCTGGTAGGTCTTCACCCCAGGCTGGACAGCTTTCGACAATACACAGCGTTGGCAACTCCGACAGTGGTTCTCTATATCAGCCCCCATACCAGGCCAGTAACATCTCTGCCTGGCCAGGTCAGTGGTCCGTCGCACCCCCTGGTGTCCATGTTTGTCGTGGAGGTTATTTAAAAGTTCTTCGTGCAGGCACATGGGCAGAAGCAGTTGTGCATAGACTTCCCCATGAGGGGCTGTGACCTGCCTATACAGTACACCCTCTTTTTCCAGAATGCAATCCCATTGCTGGACAAGACGCTTGACATCCTTTGAGAGTAGTAACCTCTCTTCCATATTTGGTGGCTTTCCTCTTTTCCAGAATGAAAGAAAGACTTCAATGGTGAGGTAAGCACCTTGCAGTGTAGCCAGATCGTCTGGTGATCTGCTTGGGAAGACTCCGATTTGCTGCTGTGCCACTACCACAGGTTTCTCGACGTCAGGCGAAATATTTGAGGAGGTGTTGGCACGTTGGTTCGGCTGCTCTTGAGGCACATCCTGGTCACTGTACTGGCGAGAGAGAGAGTCAGCATTTCCATTGTTTCTTCCAGGTTTGTAATGCACAGTGAAGTCAAAAGCTGCTAATTGAGCTGCCCATCTTTGCTCAGTGGCCCCCAGCTTAATGTTCTGAAAATGGCTTAGGGGATTGTTATCAGTGTACACTGTGCACTTACTGCCCAACAAATATTCCCTGAATTTCTCTGATATTGCCCACTTCAGTGCCAGGAACTCTAGTTTCATAGAGCTATAGTTCTCCATGTTGCGCTCTGAACCCCTCAGTGAACGACTTGCATAGGCCACTGGTCTTAATTTGCCCTGGTGGTCTTGTGACAGTACAGCTCCTAGTCCCTGATGACTAGCATCCACCTCAAGGACAAAAGGTTTTGTGAAGTCGGCAAAGGCTAAGATGGGTGTACTAGTAAACATCCTCTTCAATTCACTGAAACTGTGATTGCATTCCTCCGTCCACATGGTAAGCAGTATAACTGCTGGCCTTTTTCTGCTTTCTTTGGCTACTCTGATGACATTTGCCACCAGTTGATGTAGGGGCGCAGCCAATTGTGCAAACCCCTTTACAAAGCGACGGTAATAGCTGCAGAACCCAAGGAAAGATCTTACTTCAGTCACATCTCGGGGTACCCTCCAGTTCTCCACGGCAGAAATCTTGTTTGGATCAGTTGCCACTCCTTCACTGGACACCCGGTGTCCAAGGTACTGCACCTCTTTCTGAAAGAAGTGGCATTTGCTCATTTTGGCCTTAAGGCCTTTCATTTGGAATCTGCTGAGGACAATCTCCAACCGCTGCAGATGCTGTTCTATGGAGGTAGAGAAAACAATGACATCATCCAGATAGAGAAGGACTGACTGAAGGCTCTGGTCACCAAATATTCTTTCCATAAGTCTCTGAAAAGTCCCAGGAGCATTACACAAGCCAAAAGGCATTCTCTCAAACTCAAACAGTCCAAAAGGCGTACAAAAGGCTGTCTTGGCTCTATCCTTCTCAGCGACAGGAACCTGATTGTAGCCACTTGCCAGATCTAATGTGGAGAACCATTGAGCGCCAGCAAGAGCATCCAGAGTTTCCTCGATGCGGGGTAGTGGGTAGGCATCTTTCCGAGTTTTAGCATTGAGTTGCCGGTAATCCACACACATCCTAATCTCTCCAGTCTTCTTGCGCACCAACACAATGGGGGAAGCATAAGGACTGCTGCTCTCCCGGATGACTTTACTATCAAGCAGCTGCTTAATGTGATCCTTAACTGCCTGCCACTGCGTAGGGGGAATTTGTCTATATCTTTGGCGGACAGGGACTTCATCAAGCCTCTCTGAAGAACCAGCACCTTACCGTGGTAGAGAGGTTTGTGTGCCCTGATGAACCTGGGGGCTGTGTTGTCTGGAACCTTGTGTTCCTGGTAGGGTCTCCCATGGCAAATTGGTCTCAGGCAAGGGGCCAGACTAAGATTGGTTCAAAAGACCTCATGAAAGACGACACAAGAAGTGAGGATACCCGGCCCGGAGGAAGCCCGGGGTCCCCTTCTGGAGCCAGGCCCAGAAGGAGGACTCGTCGGCGAGCGTCTGGTGGCCGGGCTTGCCACGGAGCCCGGCCGGGCCCAGCCCGAAAAGGCAACGTGGGCAACACCTCCGCTTCTCCGTCCCGCGGGCCCACCACCTACGGGAAACATCGATGGGGTCGGGTGCGCTGCCAGAAGGGTGGCAGTGAAAGCGGAGGGTCTCGACGGACCAGACCCGGGCGACAGAAGCTGGCTTTGGGGACGTGGAACGTCACCTCTCTGGGGGGGAAGGAGCCGGAGCTTGTGCGGGAGGTGGAGCGTTACCAGTTGGATCTGGTTGGGCTCACCTCTACGCACAGCGTCGGCTCTGGAACCTTACTTCTGGATAGGGGTTGGACTCTATTCTTCTCCGGAGTTGCTCAAGGTGTGAGGCGCCGGGCGGGTGTGGGGATACTCACAAGTCCCCGGTTAGGTGCTTCGTTGTTGGAGTTTACCCCAGTGGACGAGAGGGTCGCCTCCCTACGCCTGCGGGTTATGGGGGGGGAAAACTCTGACTGTTGTGTGTGCTTATGCACCCAACAGCAGTTCAGAGTATACGGCCTTCTTGGAGACCCTGGAAAGAGTCCTGTATGGGGCTCCTGAAGGGGACTCTTTAATCTTGCTGGGAGACTTCAACGCATGTGGGCAATGATGGAGACACTTGGAGGAGCGTGATTGGGAGGAACGGCCCCCCTGATCTGAACCGGAGTGGTGCTTTGTTACTGGACTTCTGTGCTAGTCATGGATTGGCCATAACAAACACCATGTTCGAACATAAGGATGCTCATAAGTGTACGTGGTACCAGAGCACCCTAGGCAGAAGGTCCATGATCGATTTCGTTATCGTATCATCGGACCTGAGGCCGTATGTTTTGGACACTCGGGTAAAGAGAGGGGCGGAGTTGTCAACTGATCACCATCTGGTGGTGAGTTGGGTCGAGTGGCGGGGGAAGCCTCTGGATAGACCTGGTAAGCCCAAACGTGTAGTTCGGGTGAACTGGGAACGTCTGGAGGAGGCCCAAGTTCAGGAGGCCTTCAACTCGCACCTCCGGCGGAGCTTTTCGGGCATTCCTGTGGAGGTTGGGGACATTGAACCAGAGTGGTCGGTGTTCAAAGCCTCTATTGCCGAAGCCGCGGCGGGGAGCTGTGGTCTCAAGGTCCTAGGTGCCTCAAGGGGCGGTAACCCTCGAACCTCCTGGTGGACACCGGTGGTCAGGGAAGCCGTCCGACTGAAGAAGGAGGCCTTCAGGGATTTGTTATCCCGGGGGACTCCCGAGGCAGTTGCAAGGTACCGACAGGCCCGAAGGGCAGCAGCCTCATCCGTGGCCGAGGCAAAGCAGCGGGTGTGGGAGAAGTTCGGAGAAGACATGGAGAAGGACTTTCGGGCGGCACCAAAGTTGTTCTGGAAAACTGTCCGACACCTCAGGAGGGGGAAGCAGGGAACCATCCAAGCTGTGTACAGTAAGGATGGGACGTTGTTGACCTCAACTGATGGAGTGTTAGGGCGTTGGAAGGAATACTTTGAGGAACTCCTGA